CCCAACTGCTCCTGGGTGCGCAGCGTGTTGAAGCACGGCTCTGAGATAATCTGGCAGAAGAGCTCCAAAAACATATTCTCAGAAGTACTCTGCATGTCTGTCTGGTAATATATTTCAATGCCACAGTTGTTATGAACCTCATTTCTCTGTTGATATACAAACCAACCTCCTAGAAGACAAAGTTAAAACATTGACGTTCATGAAAGTGTACATTCTGACTGTTCACAATTAAAAACATAATGGTCTAAGGTTTGTGGAATGGATTTATATAGTGGTTTAGTACTGTTAAAGCAGAATTTCCACTAAGAGCATACTTTTCATAAGACAAGAAAAGAATGTATCATTTTACCATCAAAATGTTGCTGCTTGGAAATATTAGCAAGTAAATTGAAACTGGCTGCTTCTCTTCAAGCAAGTATTTTTGGAACTGCAGTGAAATTCTGCATTGGCTCTACTGTGTAAACAGTTTCTAAAGACAGTCTGCCAGAAATTATTATGAACATTAAAAATAATTCAGCATTTAATACCAACAACTTCTTTTGTATATGGCAGCTTCCACAGACGATCAGCTAGGGGTAATTTATCTTGTCTGTACAGCTACGTATGTCACCACTCCCAGCAATACCTTCAACCTCCTTTTTATAAAAAACACTTTTTTCACCATGCAAGTAAAAACATACAAACACCACAAGACCAAAAGAATTTGTGTAAGGAAAAATAAAAAAGTTATTTGTGTAAGAGCTTTTTGTTTTTGCAGAGAGTCATTACATGCAATTCTTAATGGTCAATTAATACCCAGAAATGCTCAAAGAATGGTGTTTACTCAAATGTATATACTCTGTGTAGCAGAGATTGGGACAGGGCTCTTATTTCCATAAATTATAACAAGTGACTTGGAACTGAAGTGCAGAATCCTTTGATCATAGAAGGGCTTTGGGTTGGCAGTCACCAAAAGATCATCCACATCATCCCAAGAAGTCCAATTTACATACACAAATTAAAAATGAAATCAAAGTAATTGTCAAGTATGCTAGAAAGGTCATGTATTAGTACATAAATTTACCAGTAAAGCCACACCCTATTTCTGAATTTTAAGTTTAGAATAACTTGAAGTAAGTTTGGCTTCAAAACACACTCCTAGCAACACAGTAATATGCCTTTTAAAATGTTGTGAGCAAGGAGAATCTCAATTTAATGTGCCTTAAATATTGTAAATCTATCATTTAACTTACTGTCAGGAAGCTGCACTTCTCTGTACCTCACTAGCTGACTGGGAAGGAGTGGCTTTGTATGAGCATGCTCAATGAGAGTGTCCTCAACCATCTGCATAATTCCTAATGCAGCCTGGAAAAGAAAACATAAGAGGACTTTTAATGATCATTAGTTATTCTGCATTTCACAGCAGCATCAGACTTTCCAATTACTGATGGTGCTGTGAGAGAAAAGAAAAAAAATCAGAAATAGAAAGTAGGGATACTGTAATTCAATACAAATACAGTAGAAGTAGATGAGAGGAAGTGGGAGTGTGGAGGGTGAGAGGTTTTTTTGTGTCTTCTTTATGTTTAAATTGTCTACATGTTTAACTACTCCTATTTCTCCCCAGTGCTTCTGAAATTAAAGCTCAGTGGGGTGGGTTTTTTTCATTTTCCCTCCACCACTTGATGTGCTCATCATTCAAAGTGAAAATGAGGTATCTCAAACGTATGTCTGAGAGCAAATGGCATTTCAGTAGATGAAAATTTTAAGAAAACAAATGGTTAAGGTCCAGGATGCATTTCCTTGATTTGTTGGTGGTGTTAAGACTCATTGCCCAAATACTTTATTTGATGGATTACAGTAAGAATTTAAAAGAAATATATAAAGAGTGAAAAAAATCCAAAGTCATTACTTTCATTCAAGGATTCAACCTCAATAGCTTAATTTCTTAAGGGTTATGTGTTTTTGTAGCCTGCACTCTGGAAATCACAGGAACTTGCTAAAGTAGTTTTGGCTGAAAGCTAAAATCTCTCGTTCTGCATTGCCATAAACTCACAACACAAGTGATTTCATAAAAAACATGAGAAAGGTTTGAAAACTTAATAAACATACACCCTTACCAACACTTCCAAAACCCCCATGCAGTACCAAAGACAAAAAGGTTGAGGTATAAAAACAAGAGTTTAAAAAGTTAGATAAAAAGACTATTTATTCTTTCAGTCAAGTGATCATATTAAAATATTGACAAAAGGACTGCTCAGAGTTCTGAACTTTTCATCCACTTACAGCAAATAAATAAAAGAAATTTTCAATAAACCCAAGTATCAGAATGAAAGTAAAGAAAAAAATAGGAATTTCAAGCAGCTAGATAAATCTAATTTTTCAAGTCCAGATTCACTGAAAAATTTTTTCAAGATTGAAAGGTGTCACACGATAATGTAAATTTTGATTTATTTTAGTTGGAAAAAATTCTTAGGTCCAGGTTAAAATTGCAGAGTTTTATCAGTGATTATCACATCATGGGTAGCGAAGGACAGACAACTTATTCTGGTTTCTATTCAGGGAGGTTTGCAGAAAAATTCTAAACATTTCATGGCTATGGGTATAGCAGGACATCCTTCCCAGTTTTTTAGCTGTAGGACTTTTGATAGCCACCCATTATGCCAAGGAAAGAATACACTTCTCTGACATCACTGCATCATCATGGAAATCTAAAAAATTCTGGGCATTCAGTTCTATTTCCAGAGGCAATTGACTTTCATATACAAATATGTAAGAAACAAGGAAGGAAAACCAGACTATTTTTGAATTTCTTTGCAAGAAGAGTACTCTATAAAAATTTTTTAACAAGTACTTCAGAGACATTCTTGACAAAGAAAAGTTTGTCTCTCCAAGCGATTAGCTCCTTCCTTATTTTTTCCCTCTTTACAAATTAACTTTCTCCTCCATACTTTCAGCAGTCACAAGCAGTGTCTATAACAGCTCTTGCTAGTAAACTATCCCAGAGCTGTTCTAAAACAAAATATTGTAAACAAGCCTTATGAAAAAAGAATGCAAAAACACACAAAAAAAGTACTCACATTTGTATTGGTACATATATTAAAGTATTTCTTATGACTTTATATGCAAATACAAAGTGTTACTATTTTAAAGGAAGACAAAACAAATGTTTTTTGAGTTTTACTCCCCTGAGAGCTGACTCTTGGCTTTTTCATGCTCCGCCATTCCTGTTTAGCTATGTGCAAACTGCTTAATTTGGAAGGATAGTGGATTCTTAAAACTTTGATAGTTATTCTGAAGGCTTCCAGTGGAAAAAAGCAAGATCTGTAGCACATTGTTTTTCTACAGCTTGATCACAGTAACGACATGCAACATAGACTTTCAAATACACAGATGCTAAGTTGTTTTCATTAAATTTCCAAGAGCAATATAGAGGCAGCACTTAGCCTAAAAACCTGAAGTGGAAAAAATTACACTCTGATACTCCTATAAATATAAAAAAGTACAAAGTTGAATTATGAAATGACATTTGGCATAACTGCTTCAAGATCTGCAAAGATTAAACTAGTGCTCCATTTTTATGCTGCTTTTAAATAAAAAATGTTTTATTAAGAAAGTATCAAACCAACCTGTTTTGTTATATTGCCATGGAGAAGAGCTTCAATGTGTAACCGTGACAACAGCTGTGCTATGAAGGCCTTGAGACGGGGAAGGGTGACATCTACAATAGATATTTAGACAGTTAAATCACTCAAATGCATTTTTAAATTATGAAGGACCTAGGCCTAAATCATCATTAGATACAGTGCATTTCTCAGAGGAGGAGAAATCTGTCATTACAAAGAAGTGAAATCTCTCCTTAAAAATGCAACATTGGAATGCTTCCAGGTCTAAATAGCAGCACTCATCATATAGTTTATTTCACTTAGAATTCACATGCTGTCTTGACCCAGATTCAAAAAAAAAAAAAAGAGTAAAAAAAAGCTGTCTTTCCAATCATGCTGAACAAACACTCATTCTCCAGAGAACACACTTGCAATCATTCAGGTGGTGTTCCAAGGAAAAGCCTTAGTTATTTACTAAACAAGCAGCATGTAGTTTATAATGCTCAAGAAAGACTCTATGCATTAACCATCCAGACTAAAAAAAGAGCCTCAACTCAAATATAGTATTTTGATATTAATTTTGGAACAAAGGGCATACAAGAAAAATACTTCGGCAATATATCCTAAAGGACACATGCACAACACATACACACACATTCTATCCAGCCTGCCCTTGCCAAGCAGTTTTCATATACAGTGCAAAATACAGTTTAGCATATAGAATCAATGGAGTAAGAGGAAGGATGGTTGGATGAGGTATTCATGGCAATGTGTTCTGAATCAAACTCCTCAAATAAATACAAAAGCCTGGTATTCTTCTTGAAAAGAATGTCGGTGTATTCCAAGAAGATATTACAGGACATCTTACAAACTGTCCCAGGAACAGCCTTTTAATACAACACAGTAAAATACAGGTTGGGAGTTCTTCAGCTATTACTACAAACATAGAATTACCACAGAATGGCGTGGGTTGAAAGGGACCTTAAAGATCATCTAGCTCTGACACCCCTGCCTGCAGGGACACCGTCCACTAGGCTCATTGCTCAAGATCCCACTCCATCTGGACTAGAAAAATCACTTAAATCTCTTAATTAAAAATTTCTTCTTCCTTCAAATATACTGGAACACCTACCTTGTGTTAAGAGCCACAATGTTCTTTATTATAGTTGTCATTATCTACAGAAAGTACTTTTTTTTTTCTTTATTAGCTACAGAAACATAAGCTAGGATTCCCTGATCATGGAAAAAACAAAACAGTTTGCACATTGGGAGGTACAATGCAGATACAGTCCTGTGTGCCTGTAAGATGTCAACTAGAGCCAAATGACTTTACCAATGTTGATTAAGTACTGGATTCACCATATCCAGGTTCATGTACCCCCGAAGTTAGTAAAGTTTTGCCTGAACTTTTATCTGCAGGTTTTGCCATTTGAGGCCTTTTCCATGAGCTACTCTACTTTCTTGAAACTGGAGGGCAAGAGCAGCATGGCCAGCATCAGCTCAGGCCTGGCACTGCAGGGACTTCGCTTGAATAGTGAACAGAGCACAAAACAGGTATCCCCAATAGTTAAATAACATAAGGAAAAAATAATAAAGTGGCAGAGCATTACCATCTAGAGCTTCTTTTAATTCATCTTTGGTCCAAGCAACTTCAGTCATCAGGAGTCGAAGATAATACATTGCATGCTGGTGAGGCTGTTCAGCCCTGAAGTTGTTGAGTGATCTCATGTACTAAACCAAAAAATCAGGTTCAAGTTAGAAATTCAGAAATAGAATTCTAAACATATTAACACTGTACTCTCAACTTTGTATCAAAAAGATACAGTTCAGATATTGAGAACATTCCCTTGCTTGTTACAACTCTTAAAAAAATCGTGTTACATCACTTTAGTAATAATGCAGGTTTCTGAGCTTTTGGATTAAGCAGAAACCATTAAAATGGCTGAAATGTGCATGAAATCAAACTTGTCCATAAAATTAATGCCTAGAAATTAATTTATTGCAGTAAACAAGAATTTAGATCAAATTTCCCAGGAAATTTGCCTTCTGTGATGACTGACCAGGGGTGGGGGAACACTGCTAATAGAAAATGTATTTTTCTTCCTGTCACCTACTTTGGCTGACTTGTTTAGACAAAATCTGGAGCATCTGGAAAATTCTCTGCATGTTTTGCATGGATAAAGGGTGTATGAGAGAAGAACCAGAGAGCTTCTGCAAAAAAAGTCCTTTCTAGTCCAGCTGCACTTTTACAAAATAAGCAAAACCTTCTTCTTCTGCCAGACAAACTGGAAAGTGCAAACTAATAGTTTTGACAAGCTGCAAGCATTTCCAGTGCAGGAAAAAAGTAACTCATTTCAGGGCACGAGTGACCAATAGCATGCCTCAGGTTGCTGAGGACGTATCCTTCTGTCTGCTGCAAGCAGAAGCCAGAAGTTGGTATCTCCTTTATCTGTTTGGCATAAACATGGGAGAAAACTGCGATCTCTCCAGCTGATGTAATTTCTAGAAATCAGCATGTACTAAACCAGGTGGTTATCTTTGCACCAAAGGATCAAGGCCCAGAAGCCAAGAAAAATCTAGAGAAAAGAAATGTTGCAAACTTTTTCAACACTTCCTTTCTTCCCTTCACCTATTTACCACTTCTTTTATGCCTAGGTCCTACTGCAGCCTTTCCAAACTGCAAAACAGGATTTAAAGCTAAGATTTTCCCCTCCATCCCCCTACTTAGATTTCTACTCCTACCAGAGCAAGCTGTGCTTCCTTGATACATCTGACTAAGAAAGACTGACTAAAAAAAGATTCCAGGACCAGTTATTTTTAACCAAAGAATGTTACATACACAACTCCAAGAAGCTCACAGGCACCAAAAAATAAAAGTCATTTGAAGTCCCACTAATGCAGAATTTCACTCTCTATTTCCAAAGACTGTCAGCCCTCGGATCTCCTATCAGGTCAATGCATTCAATTTTCAATTACTCCAAAATGTGAATTTCTCATGCAGCTTACCGCTTCCTTGATAATTTCAAATCGCTTTTCATCAATCTCAAAAGTAGCCATTTTCTCAATGATCTTCTTGAGCAAGATATGTTGCTTGTCGTTATAACCTTTTACAGAGAGCTACGGAAAAAGTGCATAAGTTGCTTTAAATGTGGAAGATAAAAGAAGAAAACCATTACCAAGTCTTGTACAATGCCACGAGCAATGCACTTTTCAATACTTACGCTAAATTCACCGTTACGGAACATTGGATCATTCTTAAGTTAAATCCCTTTATCCATTAAGAGGTAACTAACTGACAAATACAATATTGTGTATTTGCACAGGAGCTCTAAATGCACAGAATTAATGTAATTTCCTGTTGGTGTAAGTAAACTGTACTCAGAATACAGATTTTTAATGATTACAGTGTTGAGTCTTGGAGTACTGAAATGGTTTTAATCTAGGTTTCTCACTTTAGTAATGAAGTCTGGATTCACAATTTTCTAAAATATTCTCTCCAATTTACTTTAACCCTTGGTTCACATCTACGTTGTCGATCAAAGAATATTTAAGGGGAAGTAAGCAATACTACAAAAAAGAGGTGCTATAAACAGCAGCACATTTTATAACCAGGATGCTGCTGAGCTGAAACGTCATCCTGGAATTGTAATGACACATTGATCTGATCATACATATTTTTGAAAGTATAAATGAAATAGACTTGCTCATTTAAAAAATAAAACTTAAAAATTACTGTTATGATTTCATCAAGCTACAGAAAATTTCTCTAGCAAAAAGGCATTAAAAGGCATTTTTTGCAAGGAAAAACTTCAAAATTTGGTGTCTTGAACCAGGAATTTGATTGGATTTGTGCAGTTTAATTAGGATTAAAACTAAACTTTAGAACACAAACCAGCATATAGAATATAGCATATAGCATATAGAATTCCTGCTTTTCAGCAGGAAGAATTTTTTTGTTCTGTAGTTGCTGAAGCACAGCTGAACAATAAATTTGAAGAAAAAGTTATCATAAATAGATTCATGACAAAGGCTGGTATCCTAAATTAGCACAGGAACCCAAAGAGTTCAACAATCACCACGGGTCGCTCAAAGCATCAGTATAGTCATTAGTAAATTACACTTATTAATTATGAAACTTCTTACAATATGGAAAATAATATTACAAGTTCTCAAATAATATTTAAAATAACTGTGACTAAAAATTAAGAAAATTACACACTTTTTAAAAAAGGAATTAACCCTGGTCATAGAAACATCAGCAAGCTTTGAAACTGAGGACAACCTAATGATTGCAGTAAGTCAGGTGAATGCAACAAGAAAATTGTATTTGCACTTGATTTTTTAAAAATGCAGCACTCTCTCATATAGAAAATGTAAAGACAATACACAGTACATTCTTCTACTAAAATACTTTGGAAAATAACACTTCTACAGGAAATTTCAAAACACATTCTGGCATATAAGGATGGTTAACAAAAGCTTTTAACCAAACTTCAAGAGAGATAAAATCTCCTATCATAAATCTCATAGGAGAAGCTGAATAAGCAATAATAATTTATCATAATACCAATATTTATCAAGTACTGTCAATGCTTTATAATAGATTATAAAATATGATAAAAACAACAGGAAAAGCCATAAATATCCAGCATTGCAATCTAATGAACACATGCACAATCCATCTCCACAGCTCACTGCAGTAGAATTAGGAAATTATAACCAAATCTGTAAAGCTGAGGATTCATTCAACAGAAAAGTTAATATTTTTATACAAAAACCAGCAATACTACTTTCCAGATTATCATGCAAGCAAGTAAAAATGTGAACCAGAATGCAACAATTACACTACACACATGTTCACAAGACACTGCAATCTTAAACAGGTCACTCAGTACTGATTAAAATACAGTCTTGCATTGCCTTTAATTCATGAGATATATGCAAGGAAAAAAACCATTAACCATCTCATTTAGAAATGCAGAAGTCCAATGTTTTCTCCAAGCTCAACAACTCCCAAGCTGTTTCATTTCCTCCTGCGTTCTTTTCTTACTTACAAGTATTGCATTCATTCCTGATGCAATGCCATAGACCAAACCTGAGAGGCGTGCTGCATATGTATACTCTTTTAAATCATCCTTCAATAACCTGATAAACAGGTATGTCATGTTGCAATGGAGAGGATCAGCATAAATGTAGCGACTAACAAAAAGAAAAACAAAAGAAATGCTTTGATACCTCAAGCAGTGACAAGGTAATGGATGAAGAAACATGACTGAAGAGTATGTATATGCAGCCTCATGATCAGTAGTTCTTGAACAGGAAAGCAGAAGTATACTATTTATTTAATAGCATGAAAAGGGGTCTTTTACCCCATCAGTCAGAAAGTTTTTAGTAGATATCTGACCAACAAATATGTAAGCTTGGATTAGGGTTGTGGTTTTTTTTAATGGAGGAAGAAATCTTACAAACTAATTAATTTCACGAATGATATAGAAATAAAGAAGAAAATTTGCTTAATGTGAACTAAAAGACTGTTGAAGACTTTTAACAAAATTCAACTTAAAATTCAAATCAAAGAAAGGATGGCTAATAACCAAGATCAAAAGGACTAACAGCCTTTATTTTTTTATTTAAAAGTCCTTCCATCAAATCAATATAAAAATGTTGATGAGTGGAAGTAGTTTTAAGGCTCTAAGCTTTTCCTTGACTTGAGTACTTACATACATCCCATAGATGGTATTTTGGAGATCATAGTTCAAGCCAGCTAGTTCTGCTGCATATGCATACTCGTTGAGGGAGTCTTTGAGTAGTTCAAGGTACAAATAGGCCATGTTACAATGCAAGGGATCCACGTAAGCAAATGGGCTGGAAGAAAATGTTGAAAGTAAAATATGCAGTTTAAAATTATTTCTCTGTTTCTTTTGGCCTTTTAAGTTTGATCTGAAGGAAACAGTATTTGCTGTGTTTTTATGCTGATGGATCCCATTCTGAAGGACTCCTATTTCGAAGCCAAATATGAACACATCTGAAAAGTGTTACTTAGCTTGCATATGGTTTGATGACTAAATATACTCAAGATCCCAGAGATATTCTATTTATGCTCATAAATCAAGACATGTTTTATTTACTTGGCTGCACAGTCAGAATTCACCAGGAGTAAAAGAAACAAAATATACCAACATAATTTAACAGACCAAAATGAAAGTCCATGTACTGAACATTAATTAATTAATACTCATACACTATCAGTTTCTATTACAAAAATTAGGAGATCAACAATTTTTGGTATGACAACATGCAGTACATGCCAAGGTCAGCTCAGGAGATAAGTCTGTGTACCCACTTTCTTACTGCTGTAACTTTTTACATTATTTTTATAATGGCAACTCTCCAAAACCTACTGTTGCATTAGGAGCACATGATCATACACAACACTCTTATAAATTTCTCAATAAGAGAAATGCAACTCAAAGACTGAAGTCATGCTTCAACCCTGCTAATTGTTAAATACCTGTCTGTTTTAAAGATTTGAGAAGACAAGTTATTTGTACTAT